TATTTGTTAAATTAGACAAAAACATGTTTACAGAAGCAAACGAACAAATACAAAGAAGCGCAAGATACCCTCAAAAACTAGTCACTGATATAACTCCTAAAACAAGCCGTTTATTAAAAAAAAAAACCTTTATGATGTGTCTTAAAATCTTTAACAATATTCCTACCATTAAATAAATTTAAAAATAAATTACCTAAATGACTACTTAACAAAAGCTTAAACTTGGTAGACGAATTTTTTTAAAAGAATAGAAATATCTAATATAATTGGTTTTGTCGATGCATGAATTAATCAGTTCCTACCAAAATGCGACATTTGCATGCAATTCTATAAATAGCTAAATAGGTCCGAGACTTTATATAACATAAGATAACCAATACCTACCCTCTTTAATGCAAACAGATTTATTACTATTATTGAAATTGGAATTCTTTCTGTCTGTTCTATCCCTTTGATGCATGAAACCGTCGTCTATCTAACATACTTATACAATATACTAGTTCTGTTCCCTTATCAAAAAGTACAAAGGAACTCTTTTGATGCAACTTTGTCCACCTGTCCATCACAGCGCTTTATCTCAGTATTCCCTAATGCTGTCAAACTGAAACTCGGAATAGTTTTACATATTGTTAACCCACAAATATTTCCATAGATGTAATAGAAAAAAAAAATCTTTTCTGAAATCCGCACGAGTTAAAGTCGCATTTGATCAAATTTATTTTTACCACTAACTTCTGCTTGACCGAGATACTCTTACATTGGTTGACCGAAATCAAAAGTTGGCGTATGTCCTTCTTCATCCCAAACGCTATGTGTATACCAAACTTCATAACGATGGGTTTTTCGTAAAGGTCCCAAGAGATAACAAACAAACTTACTTTCACATTTGTAATATTAGTACGGATACGCAGAGATATGGGAGGATTTCGTGGAATACCCATGGATATCATGAAATCACGGAAGATGTTATCCCGTCTTCTGGTTAGAAAGATTGAGTAATATGACAAAATAATACAATATATTTCGTGATACGTTTCACAGGGGCAAGAGTAAAGCCTTCAGGACGAGATAGAAGAGAGAATGAAGCCAAAGGTACGTGTAAAATCAGAGGCTTTTAATACTATCGTAGGCCTCATTAAAAATAACATTATTGTAGCCAAAATGTTTCAATGTAATAATCTTTGTATTAACTGAAAAGTTAGCTAAAAATATTTATTATTTATTTTTATTTAACTCTTTATTGCACCATAAACAAAAATATACAATGACAATTGAATAAGTGAAGTGAAATACAGATTAAAATATATACATAAAGGTATAAAAGGCGGTCTTATCGCTAGGGCGATCTCTTACAGACAACCTTTGGTTAAAGAATATATAGATCTTTATTTTCTCAATGTAAAAAAAAAAATACAAATAAAGAGCATTTGGTATTGGCATATTAGTATATTGGCATATTTGTCCTATGTATAGTTATTTTGTGGGTATTTGTTTTAATAGATAATAATAAAATGCTACCGGGTTACCGGTGAAAGACGATAGGTGAGGATCAAGTGCAATTAGTTGATACATTGTAGGGAATTCGTCAGGAAAGTTCTACATTGCATTCCAAAGAATATGCACCCAAAACTGCATAACACAAAAAAAACCAACCACAGCATTTCACACTTAAATCATTTCCTCATTAAATTATAAATTATAATTAACCAGAAGGAGATTTTGTACAAAAGTCGTTTGTCCCAAACAAACCGCCGCTGTCCGATTCGTGTTTCTACCATGAAGCAGTTGTGTTTGCATGGCTGTGTTTTGGTTTGAAGGATGGGGTATGAATTTACAGGGTACAGAGAAATAACAACTGAGTCCTCAGGTGGGAGTCCCCACAACACGTGGGGGGTATCATTGGCAAAACAGTATACTCTATTATGTCCATGATACTGCTCATATCTATAGGCGAAACAGTATACTCTGTTATATCCATGGTACTGCTCATGTCTATAGGCGACGGATACCACTTTCCATCAGGTGGGCCGTCAGATTGTCTGCTATTTTGAGTTGCATAAAAAAAAGAATACAGAGAGAGAAAGAAAAAGAATTCCATATTGTGTATATTCCAAGCACATTACTTTTTATTTTGTTATAAGCTATAGACCAAGAGTTAAATAGATATTTCCCAGTTTATTACTTTACTGTTTCCGAAACTTTCGAAGCTTCAATACACATATATTCTTCAATTTAGACCTTAAAATGTTGACACACTTATATTTAAAAAAAATATATACAATACTCTACAATCAATGTTTCATAGCCTTTCCGCTATAAATAACCGATATAAAAACAATCTTTTTATCAAAATATAGAGACTCAGTTTTATATTAAACATTCATTTATTCAATTATATATTCAAGTAACATAAATATAACTCTAGAATGTAATTAATAATAGATATTTAATTAATAATTCAATTTAAATAATGTAAATATTTTAATAATCGATTTAAATATTTATCAAATAATAAGTCTCTCTCTTTCTTTATTATGCACTAAAAGAAATGCATCAAAGTACAAAATTTGCATTATGTACAAACAGTTATATCAAAAACTAATTTAAATTAATATATATAATATAAAATAAACAAATATCCTCGATCTATAACCTATACTAATACTATAAAGAGGAAAGATTAAATTGTCTGTCTGTTTATTTCTTTGTAATGGACATACTCGTACCGACGGACCGACATGAGAATATCGAAAAATGAATTTTTAGGAAGCCAGCAAATCATGTCAAAATGGGTTTAAACCACATTCTGTATTTAGTATTTGATTATCCCAACTGTGAAACTCATGCACACATAATATCAATTGTCAATCAAATTCAAAAATTAATGACCAATGTCAAAAACTTTTTAAAATTCTTCATACATTATTTATTTTCGGAATCTATTTGTTATATGTACGTTTTTTTTTTATTTATTGTCAGTTAATTAAATACGTCGCCGACTGTACGAAAAAAAATAACAATATTATCTAACAATAATAATAACTAACGTTGTTCACGCAAAATCAATTTTGTTTACGCAAAATTTGCCCACGCGAACCTTTCCTTCATTCCCGTGGTAATTTTAAGAAATCCTGTCTTTGTAAATATCACTGCCGGTACAAGGACTTTAAAGGATTTATGTACAAAATTTCCTGTTTGTATCGATAGATCAGACAGATCAGACATTATTTTAATGTACATAACTTGTATTACGATATTCAATATAGCTCAACAAAGAATTCCTAGTAAATTACATAACATTTCAAAGGACACTCAGGACAAACGCGAAGCCAAGAAGAAATGATGTAGCTTGTGTATATAATTTGTACTTATATACGCAGTTTTAAAGATAAACAGTTTTTGTAAATGTTATTCATTATTTTTATATTGTTTTCAAATAGCTATATGATATTGATGCCGTTTATTTCAGGTTATTACATGTTATAATTGTATAAGAGATGTGATATTGTCTCAAAATATTAATCCCCTTATTTATAAACAAACCTTATTAAAAAAAAAAATATTAACATTGTCACAAACCTGTATCAGCTATTTTACTATTTTGACTCTTTCTTTTACACTAATATCCCAATTGGAAAGAAAGCGACAAAACATTGTAATCATTAAAGTAGATTTGTAAAAAGTTTTAATTAAATAGTCAATTAGGTTTTAGTAAAATAAAAAATCTGTTATTATTTCGCCTTACTTTTCATCAGAATATCGGTTATAGTTAAAAAACTAAAAATTTTGGATAATCCTGAATATTCCAGAAAATTTAGGCAACGTCCGTGGCAGTGACACAAACGCTTTGCTGTAAAATATTAAATATATCAACTGTAACTTCATCTAATATTTATTAGGATACAATTTATAGTTATAGAAAAAATTATTATGCAAATAACAGAAAATTTTAGGCCGTCCTGAATGGATATTCCCGGAATCAGGATGATTATGCAAGATTCGGAGTAGCTATGCAATTGTTTTGCCGTGAAATTGATATGCAATTGTAACTCAACATCATTTTAATTATATATATAATAATTTTAATAATTTACAGTTATAAACAAATCATAGAAAAGAAACAGCAAACTTTAAACAATCCTGAATATCCCGGAAAGAATCTACAAAATATTGGAGATGCATGAATTTGAAAATTTATTTTTAGATAAAGGTTCTGCAAGATAAATAGGACGAATAATTTCTATGATCAATATGGTTCGATACATTATATTTTATTATCAAGAAGTTATTATTCACCAGTGTTCTGGTCACTGCGCATGTTCTTTTTGCCGGCCGGCGTTTGCGCACAACAAACATAGTTGTTTCGACATAATAATGTATTGATATTGCATAACAAACACTGCAACGTAAAATTAATGTACTACGTCAAATGGAAAAATTAAGCACGTTGTAAATTTCCACAATTATTACATATTATAATTGTTATATTTCAACATGTGATGAAAATATATTTCCGTGAATAGATAAATATTTATAATATTTAATAGACTTAAATAAATTACAAATTATAGTGCATTTTATAAATATTGTCAACAATGCAAACAACGGCCGGCGGAACAGCTGAGAAAACTGTTTATTTACTTAATGAGCATTACCACGCTCTCTTCATTGCAACTATTCATGTATAGAAAGAAGCGGCCGTTCAATTAGTTAGCCGACATCGCAAAAAACGACTCCGTGTCACGGATGACATAACAGGAAAACAGAAAACACCGGTGGAAAAAAATTATATTACATATTACGCAGTTATGCACTTCCTGGCCGTCCGGAGCGACACGACAGTCATGCAAATTAAATTTAACCGGCAAACCCGAAACTGTAACAGTTTAGAACCGAAAATCGATAGAGAAAGTGCGTATTGACTAAGGTAAAAAATGCCGCACACCAGAGACCGGCAAATTGAGTTTTACTCTGACAGCTGTCACTTTGACAAGACTCACCTTTGACGAGGCGCTGAAGTATGATCTCCTTGTGCTCGTGAGTGTGAGGCTCGCCTATCACCGCGAGTAAATAACATCCCGTGAGGGGGCTCGGTGGCGGCACGGAGGCCGACACCTCCGTGCCCAGAGACAAGGACCTATCGTCGTCGTGGTCCATCGCCGACGGCGGCGCCGGCGCGACTGCCGACGGATCGCCCAGGGTAGCGTAGAACCGACCGCTCGAGGCGACAACTCCGCTCCGAATGGGTTCGAACGGTCGGCTCGCTAGGTGAGTGCGCGCGCAACGTGCTGGAATCGACCGAAGGGGATGCGCGGCACGCAGACGCGCCGACGTCTAGTCTCAACCCTAAGACGTCTTTTTCTTCTCTCACGTCCGATTTGGTATTGGACAGACAGGGATGGACTGTCCACAGGGCGTATACAGAAGGTGGTGCTGGCTGATCAGCGCACACGTGATCTGCATTGCGTCTAAACAACCCGGCAGAATAACCTCGCGCCCGGTGCCTCAGCTGTTTAGTAGAATGCCACGGTTCTCACAATCGATAATGTTATAATCAGTATGACTTGACACTTGCCTTTGACTGCCAAAACTTTTTTTGCCAAACTTTTTGCAACGTAGCGTAGGTTCGAAATATATCATTAGGTATCTTTTATGTACATACCGTACCGTAAATAATATCATTGTTGGTCTTTATTGTACTTTAATCGAGTATGTAAATTGAAAAAAAAAAGTCATTAAGGTAAAACGAGACCGTATTAAAATTAATGTTTTAATATCATTGAATATTTGGGCCACTCTGCTATTTCTCGGTTAAACAGTAACTTGTTTGCTTTACCCAGGATATAACAATCATTGTCACATGATCACACAAGTTTCCGAGTTCCCTAGCTGCGACACAGTCCATCTGATGGATGGGAAGGAGCTGTACCATCCATCAAATGGACATGGATGGAAGTTAGTAAATATGTTTGGATGTTTCTTACTCAATTAACATACCAGTATTATGCTAAATTGTAACTCATTTTGATTCTTGTTTTAATTATGTATTTTTATTTATAAGTTTATTTTCTTTTTTATCTTTTTTTTTTTAGTTTAACTTCAACCAACGTATTGTAAGAATCAATAAAGATTATGCTTATTCATAATTCCAATTAAGCATAAGATGATAAAATAAAATGACGACCTCAATAGCGCAGTGGTTTACGTAAACGTGGTTCTGGGTTCGATTCGCGGTCGAACCAATTTAGAACATGAACTTTTCTGAAATGGCTAGAGTATGGATGATATGGATTGTGGCCTCCAGATGTTCGTACCTCATAACAGAGGATATTTTAGCTTCCTCCGTAATGTTATGGTGATTCCGTTGCTTTGCATAAACGAGGTTCGGGGTTCGATTCCTAATCGGGCGTTTTTTGAATCGTCTCAGGTTTAGATGTTCTAAATTATGCCTTCCAGATTGTCGCCTTCCGCTGTCTGGTACCTCATAACAGAATGTTTGAGGGGCAAGCGATCGGTGTGGTTGTGTGGCATTTATTAGTATCATCATCATTATCACATTAGCCGTCTACTGCTGAACATAGGCCTCTCCAATTGGGTTGCCAGTAGTTGCCACCCTTAGCAGAAGGGTTGGCAACCGCAGTTAGCTTTAATTGATATTTTAAAAGGAACACTGCCCTGCGCTGCCCATCTCTCGACCTAAATTCCCTTTGTTGCCTATTACGACACCCACGGGAAAGGAAGAATTGGCCCATTCTATACCGGGACCACACGGCGCACATACACATTCACTGAATTCTATTAAATCAAATTATAATTACGTAAACTATGAATTGTAATATAAAGCTCTTGTTAACTTGATTCGCGGCGCAAAGCCGCGGGATTCGGCTAGTTATACTCGTATATCTAATCGGAGTTCGTTACCCTGTGACTTCATCCGTGATGCAGCAGGTGCGAACTTCAACTACAGTGCTGACGCGTTTTCGCGTTACTTTGATAGGAAAATTTATTTTTTAAATCTATGAAATGAAATCAAGTTATATCCTATGCCATTTATAATTAAATAATTGTAAGTTAAACAAATGAATTATTTAAAAGATGACATCATAATATGTTTACTGAGATTGAGTTTTTTTTTTTACAACACAGGGGGCAAACGAGCATGCGGCTCACCTGATGGTAAGTGACTACCGCCGCCCATGATCACCCACAACACCAGCGGCATTGCAGGTGTGCTGCCGGCCTTTTAAAAAGGAATATACTCTTTTCTTGAAGGTTATGTTGTCGTATCGGTTCGGAAATACTGCTGCTGGAAGTTGATTCCAAAGAATGGTTGTGCGTGGAAGACAGTGTCTTGAAAAACGCACGATGGAGAACCGCCACTCGTCCAGATGATTGGGATGAAACTTTAGTTTGTGGCGGGTTGAACGGTGGTGAAGATCAGCAGCAGGTATCAATCCGAACAATTCCTCAGAACACTCCCCATGATAAATAATAATATCAAGTGATACGAATTAATAATTTCCCATCAATAAGATTATGAGTAATACAATTTAGATATGTAAATATATTGGTACATATATTTTCTCTGGTTACAAAAAAAATTAAGTTGCATCCTATGTTATTAATAATTAAAGAATGATTATTTAATGTAAATATAAATTAATTTTTTTTATACAACTTAGAATGGCAAACAAGCTGACGGCCCACCTGATGGAAAGTGGTAACCGTCGCCTATAGACATGAGCAGTACCATGGACATAACAGAGTATACTGTTTCGCCCATAATACCCCCATGCGTTGCCATTCCTGAGGACTCAGGTGTTATTCCTCTGTACCCAGTAAATTCACGCCATATCCCACCCTTCAAACCGAAACACAGTCATGCAAACACAACTGCTTCACGGTTCAACCATGAAGCAGTTGTGTTTGCATGGCTGTGGGACACGAATGGGACAGAGGTACCCAAGCAATCGACTTTTGTACAGTCTCCCTGTGGTCCCTCTAAATGAATTATTTATGATGATATTCTCATATGATTACTAAGACTGAGATTGAGTGATGGGACTAATTTCCTTACAATAAGATTATACATACATACATACATATCTGTCACGCCTGTCTCCCATTAGGGTAGGCAGAAACAATGGAACGCCAAATGCTTCGATTCGATAAGATTATAAACAATACAATTTTATTGTGTGAATTATATTATTACGAATATTTTCTCTGGTTACAAAAAAAATCAAGTTACATCCTGTGTTATTATAAATTATAGAATAATTATTTTATTTTCGTTTAATAATAATATTTAATGTAAACATAAACGAATGAATTATTTGAAAGATGATAAAATCATATGATTACTGAGACTGAGATTGAGTGATGTGATGTGAATTAATAATTTCCTTTCAATAAGATTTTATTATATAATGCAATGCATTTCAGATCCTCACTCCATCTAGTGGGGGATCCTAGGAAGACCATTGCATTTACCTGTACGGGGTCACCACTCAAGAACCTTTCTTCCCCACCACTACATACATAGATTACACAGTACTAGGTGGTTAAATGATGTAGCTATTAACACAGTTATATTACTACACTAGAATATAAATGTTAGCATTGTACGGGAATCGAACTCATAACCTGCTTGCTAGGTAACAAACCGCTATACCATCAGGTTCATCGTGTAAAATCGTTTTATATAGTAGTATATTTAAGCGCCTTTCCGCTTGATTAGACTTTGTTTATACCAATAATTATACAGGTAAATAAATCCGTTCTATATTTAGATAAGACGTCATAGTTTACCCAAGTTTGAAATCGCCTAACTGGATAAAGATAGTATTTTTTAATATTTTTTTCCACTAAAAATAACCGGTGCTTTCAATCGTGATTTTTTTTACTAATAAATGATAATGGAATGGTAACCTCGCCTGCGCTAACGGTATACGCTGGCGGGGCACCAGTGAGGTAGAGTAGATAGGTGAGAATGAAAAGGCAGGATGCACCTGGAATTTCCCCCTGGAAACATAGTGCTTTATTATAAATATTATTTTTTACATTTGATAGGGAATAAAAATTGAAGGATGTAGTAGAAAAGATTACCTTATTACTATTGCATTGTTAACTATATAACTTTTTTTTTATACAACTTAGAATGGCAAACTAGCTGACGGCCCGCCTGATGGAAAGTGGTAACTGTCGCTTATAGACATGAGCAGTACCATGGACATAACAGAGTGTACTGTTTCGCCAATGATACCCCCCATGCTTTGCCACTCCTGAGGACTCAGGTGTGAATAAATGTACCCTCTCTACTCTACTCTACCCCTCTGTACTCTGTAAATTCACTGCCATATCCCACCATTCAAGCCGAAACACAGCCATGCAAATACAACTGCTTCACGGTAAAAACGTGAATGGGACAGTGGTACCCAAGCAAACGACTTTTGTACAAAGTCTCCCTCTAGTAACAAAACAAGTAATCAAGTAGGCAGTAGTCCATCATATGTATATATTCATGTATATATGTATATTTTTATATGTAATATATAAATACTATATTAACATGTATGTTTATTTTATGAAAATTTGTATGTATTTATATATAGTAATTATTACTAACTTATACTAAAATATAAATAATTTAATATTTTTTCAAACCACCATCAAGTATCTCTGCACATCTTGAAGGTTGACTGGTACAGAATGCCTATAGTATTAAGTCCACCTTTTGTAACACATTTTATTGGTCAATTAAAGTTTAAATAAATAAATCTATCGATACTGAATAATCATAGATTTTAAATAAATTTACACGACTTTTTCAATAAAAACGGTTTGTGTTTCAGAATTGTTATAAACTTAATCATTTATTACAATAATAATTTAATAATGAGGTTTCCATTTCCATTGCTATTCAACGTGGAAATGCAGCAAGTATCCTAGGCACACTACCAGCTGGCAGTGATCTCAAAGAATTTTTTATCTTCAAATATATATATATATATATATATATATATATATATATATATATATATATATATATATATATATATATATATATATATATATATATATTTTTACTTATTTCTAATTATATACCTAAAACTAAATTAAAATAAAAGATAGTTACGGACACCATAATGTGGTTAAAATTTTTATATAAAAAATGTAATTTTTTCATCATCATATCTACTTATTTTACGCTTTCTCATCTCTTTCCCAAATTATTTTAGGCTTACGAGTCGTCAGTCGGTTTTTTGGGTCGCCGCGCCGTAAGAGCGGCGAGCTAGATGGACCGACGTCATCCGCAGACTTCAGCGAAGTGGTCAAGTGTTGAGTGATCAGTTTTTGTGTAGGCTCCGGTTTTCAGGTCATATAATAGATAACGGTTTGGAACAATTCCAACACTGGCGAGGGTCGTTGCTAGCCCTTCTTGGAAGGTCTACACATCTGTAACTCATATAAACTATGCAAATTTCTTTATTCCACTTATATTCGTATTGTAAATGTGAAAATTTGTAAAAATTTTATATCTTCCCACTCACACTGTATCATAATCACTCTTGGGAATCAACTTCC